GCGTGTGCGTGTGCGTGTGCGTGTGCGTGTGGCCGTGTGTGTGTGTGTGTGTATATGTGTGTGTGTGTGTGGGTGTGTGTGTGGGTGTGTGGGTGTGTGGGTGTGTGGGTGTGTGGGTGTGCGTGCGCGTGAATGTAAGCTAATCAAAAACACAGGCTTCAGCATGACATTCCGATTCAAGCGGCAGCTTCCTCAAGCACCATCAACAATTCACAGCCCCAGTCAAAAAATACAAGACCACTTAGACAAGACCAGGGCTGAAGACGAAATTTCAAGAATGGATGTTCGAATCGAAGCAAAGCTCAGCAACTAGCGCAGTTGAGAGCAACGCCAGCCTGGCGTTCCCGGTCCTTGGCAGATTCCTTGCAAATCCTGTGCCATGTGCTTCGGGCAAGTCCGTCTTGTTTGCGTCATCACTGACTTCAACGAGGATGTTGATCGAGACTTGCCTTCTGCGATCGTGCCTGCTCCAAGCAATGAGCATGCTAAATTTAAACACAGCGGCCAGGTCTCCGTGCAAGCACAGCATAACTTTGGCTAGAGTCCTCCTTTCTTCGTAGCGCCACACCATGTTGAGAGCATTCTTCAAGTTCCCCGGGGCCCTGCCTGCAAAGCACCGCTGCTACTTTGCTGCAGTGGCTGGTGCTGGCTTCGTCGGGGCAACGATCAGTGTTCAGTGTCACGAGCAGTGCCACGAACAAGCCACCAGCAAGGGAGCCAATGAGGGAAGCATCAAGCTGAAGAACGGCCGGTCGATTTTCTTCAAATCCTGTGGAGAAGGAGTGCCAGTATTTGCATTTCATGGTATGGGAAGTGCACATACAACTTGGGACCAAGAGAAGCCCGAACCTGGAATTCGGCTGATTGCAGTTGACCGTCCTGGCTATGGTTCCTCCTCGCCGCCTCCTGCTGGATACAGCTACAGGCAGTTTGTGTCAGACCTTACTGAGACCGCTGACCAGTTGGGCTTGGATCGTTTTTGTGTGGCTGGCCATTCGTCCGGGGGTCCGTATGCTCTGGCGGCTGCAGCTTTGCTACCGCAGAGAGTGGTTTCTTGCGCAGCCATTTCTTCAGACCCACCCTACTATCACCCCAAAGTTCCTGAAGCCGTGCGTCAGGCTGATGTGTCAGCTCAACCAGTATTTGGCTTGGTTGAAGAACGGCTGGCGAAGTTGGGCATAGAGATCAAGAAGCCGGTGGCTCCTGTGGCCAATTACGTCCCATGGCGCAAGACCGGAAACGTGGTCTACATCTCAGGCCAGATACCAAAGGATGGAGATCTGATCCACAAAGGGCAAGTTGGAGGTAATGTGAGTGTGGAGGCAGCGGCTGAAGCTGCAAGGTTGTGTGGCCTGAATCTTGTGGCACAAATGCGAGAAGCCTGCAACGGCAATTTGGATCGAGTAACAAAAATTCTGCAAATTCAGGGATTCGTAGCATCTACACCAGATTTCTCTGGCCATCCTCAAGTCATCAATGGAGTGTCAGATTTGCTGGTGGAGGTTTTCGGCAAGGAGGTGGGTGCCCACAGTCGCTTTGCGGTCGGCTGCAGTTCCCTTCCACTGGGAGTCTCAGTCGAAGTTGGTGCAGTGATTGAGATCGATGAGAACGCTCCGATGCCAACACCACTCGGGTTCTACGGAGTGGATCCTGTAATCAAGGGACAGTACATGGCAGCTGGGGCAGGTGAGAAGCGGCAATACATCTGGAAGCAGGGACCCTTAGGTTTCGTCACCGACTACACCCTTGAAAGGTTGCCCTGGTCCTTCAAGCTGGAAGAGATTAGCCAAGGAGAACGGCTTACCATCTGGGTTGGTGAGAAGGATATACCCGTCATCTTGCATGGGGCTCCGTTTTTGCAGTCACTTATTCCAGGCTCCAAACTTCAAGTTGTGCCGAATGGTGACCACTCCTTCAAGCGATACCCTGAGCACCTCTCCGCCATACTGCAAGAACTCAAAACCCACTGGGACAAGCAATGTCCATGACTCTCCCGAGTCTCTAGGGGTGGCTGTAACCAAGACCGGCACGGCATGCTGGTCCCATCAGTGGCACAGGATATCGAAAGTTGCACTGTGCCAAATAGAAAAGCCTGCCTTTCCAATTTCCCATCCGGATAACGTGATGTGAATATGTTCAAGCCTGGACTGAAGCAGGTGCCTTCCGTGCCTTCGACGAGGTTTGCCATTTAGACCCAGGCGGCCCAGCAGCACAGCAGGCGCAGTCCCACATTGCGTTTGGAGTGTTCGCTTTGCCAGGGCGTGGTTCGCGATAGGTGTTAGGCTGTTAGACCTCGATATGCCGCAGACAGAGTTTCGTATTCGGCTCTCTCGATCCTTCATGCTTTAAACACTGCCCGTGCCGCAGGCCATAGCTGACCGAGCCCTTCTTCGGCGAAACCTCCGTTGCGTCATCGTCCACCGGAGCTTTGGCTTCGTGTTCGTTGTAACCCTTCAGCCCAGGAGTCTTTCAAAGAGCTTCAGGTTTGGACTTGCTGTTGGTTTGGCTACCTTACAGATTGCCACTGGCCTGGACACTGCATTGTGTCCGGTTCGGCAACATGAACAGCAGCTCTGGACTGCTCCTTTTTTGACACTATGCTTTGTTGCATTTCAGGCCCGGAGACAGCGAGCTATAGTTATGATTCTCCGGCCCGCAACTAGCGAGGGACCCCGGATCCGAAGCCAAATTGAGGAACGTCTGGCAGCCGGAGACGGCACGAGCCCTCCACAATTTCTCAGGAGGCTCGCCTCTTGCACCAAGTTCAGCAGCGATGCCATGACCCAGTGCGTCCGGCCAGTTCACACATCAGTTTAGAATGAGTTTCAAGTCCAACCTGCAGTCCCCTCCATGCATCACCAAAAGCCCAAAGCCGACAAGACCGACCCTCACTGCGAGTCGCAGAAAACGAAAGAATGCAATGCACCTTAGTACAACAAAGTATAATTGGTATGCCATATTAGTTTCCGCGAAAGCGGTATAACCGGCATTGAACTTTATTATTTAGTGAACTATATCAAACTATATTGTATTCTATACTACATCATATTATGTAATGAAACATAACATATCATAGTACCGTGCAGTATATACTGTTATATGCTGTGTTCGGTTGTATCGTAATGTGTTGCAATGTCGTACGTTATAATTCGTTTACTATATGATGTTACGTTGCTTCTAATCTTATTACGTAATGCCATGGGACATAACACTAGGTTTTGTTTCATCGTACATCAAGTTACATCTTTATGAGTGATCGTGCTCCCCCGAAGGTCCAGATGCTAGAGGGGCCTCGCCTGCGGTCCGATTGTGGGATGCCGCCTTGCCGGAGGCCGCTTGAGCAATGACTTGAGCGGCAAGGTGTCGCATTGCCATCCAGGCACATAAACCTTGAATTTCCTTGAATTCAGAGCCCTTGGAGCACCCAACATGGGTGACATGTACCGGGTATTCCACGTCTTCTTGTTTGATTCCCATGCCTTCCGTATCTCAGCATTGTGCATCAAGTCAACTTGTTCAGGAGCTTTTCGGGCTGGTCAGAGAGAGCGTGGCAGTCTCAGCTGAAGTGAGCTCCGTGCTCGCTGGCTTTCAGACACATCTGATGGCCGGTTCGATCAGGGCGGTAGTAATCACACGTCGACAGTAAGAGTGATTGTCAGCACTATTTCTGTAGATGCTTGCATCATCTCCCAGCTCACCGCAGGGTATGGAGCTGCCCTGCACTGTTTGCTGGAGTGACCTGCAGGGAAGTGCCAAGCTTGTCCAGATGGGGTGCTCTTGTTCTCCTCCCTTCCCATCCAGCTGCTTTGCAGATCCTCAAGGTGGACGACCTTTGTGTTTGGCGGACAAAGAGCCCGGCAAAAATGAACACGTGCCATGGAGGCAATCATGCACATCCATAAGTAGGTAGTGGGCAATGTTGAGTAAGATGCAGGCAACCAGGGGCTGGTCAAAGAAGTTCACTTCGTCGTGCACCTGGGTGTGAGATTCGTCCACTATTCGTTGGCAACGACGGAGGGTGGGGGCTGGGAGGGAACAAGGCGAAATGCTGGCAAAATCACCAGACCACCAGCTTGCACGCATTTGATACTCCTGCCACCCCAAGCTTAAACTTAAGCAGCCAAATTGAGTTGGCCTGAAGGGGTTGGAATCACTTCAGAGAGTAGCACTGCCCCGTCATGACTCCTCCATATTGAATCGAAATGTAGACCATCCTTCGGGTGAAGCTCGAAGTCTTGGACCTCTTCGGATGCAGATGACATCTCACAGAGTGGAATACAGAGCATGGCCAAGGTTCTGGTTGGATCGGAGCGCAGAGCCGAGGATTTGAAACTCTTCTCGTCTCCTCCGGCCCTGTATAGTATTCTAACATTACGCCGCAGGTAAGCATATGTTTCAGTTTAACAGAATGAGGGCCTTGCGGGATTGTGAAGGTATGTTCGGGTGTTCCAGCTGCAGGACGGCTGCAGAGCTGGCAGGGAGAGCGCTGCTGAGGCTGCTGGGCCAGGACGCCATATCCTGTAACATGCACCAGCTGACTGCAGCGACGGTATCACTGCTTAATGGGTCGGGCCTGTGACCTTCTGTGCCGTTGGAACTAGCTATGGAATGGCAAAAAAAGCAATCAAGTTTCGCTCCAGGACCACCAGCAATATCGAGGTATCGAGTGGTGGTGTCGCAACCAGGCGGCGCAGATGGGCGCTCATTTCCACTACGATACCGCTATCTCAGCTACTTCTCAGCATGCAGCTGACAACTGGGTTCCGTTCAAGTCTGCTACAGACGAGGTTGTAGCCGAACCGAATATGAAATCGATGATCATGTACAAGGCAGCAAACTGGCGAAATTTGTGAGGGCTTCAAGTTGATTGACCAGCAGATATTCTAAGGGCTGTGAAGGAGCGGCGGTCTCGTCAGAGTCTCTTCGCCCAACGCTTTCCAGCGTGCTCTACCTCGGGGATGTGGGTGGCCCCACGATGATCCTCAACCAGGTCGGAAGGACTCGGGACTTCATTGTGCTCGTGGGACTTGGGTGTCAGGTGTCGCCTTGTTGCTTGGATGAGGCCGAAGCCACGATGCGAAGAGAGCATGCCTTGGCTGTAACCGCCAGGTGGCCGTTTCGCAAGCCAAGCTTTTTCCGCCAATGCCGGACAGGGGTTGGACAGTCGCGACACGACGGAGCCTTGGCTCAAATTGAGGTTCGAATCAGCAGGTCTCTGGGCAGGTAAGCTCATGACTCATGACTTGTGTACCCCACTAGACGACACCAGCTGGAGGCCAGATCTGTTCCGAACTACAATTCCCCAACTCAAGACCCATCATTGACAGCATTGCCCCACTTTCCGATATAGCGTGCTCCATCTTGTAGGTGCTGTATAATAATGCGCGGCTCGACCGTTTTCATGAAGGGGCCGCTGCTGCTGCTGCTGCTGCTGCTGCTAGCACAAAAGTGGTGCGGATGTACGAACCCGCAGCGAAGAGTGACTGCTGGCATCAGAAATGCATATCCCGTGCCAGATCCTCCGTGGCTCCATAGGCCTGCAAGCCCAAAGACCCAACACTCAATCGAAGCCCCAGTTTCCAGTGATCCGACGCAACAGCTCCAGCTACCGGGCCCCGAGGAACAGATGGTTGGTCTTCCCTGGTAATCTTTTCCACGGTGCGGTGTCCTTTGGTGCCAACGAGGCACTCGTGTGGTCCTTGTGTGTGCACTAAGGATTTTTCCAAGTGTGCCTCAGAAGATTTCCGGAACTAACTTTCCAGTCATGGAGCTCCTGATAGAAGTCATGCAGAAGACAAAGAAGAAATAATCTCTGAAGCTCGCTCGGGCACTGAATCAGCTTGAAAGCTACAGCACCAGTTGCAAGGCCCAGCCGACTGCACCTCGCTTTGTCATTTTGCGCCACGGCAAGTTTGGGCAGCCTGGGAAAATGTCCGTCGCGCTTCTGCTCATGTTTGAGGAGTTGCACTGGTTGCACTCCTCGGAGTGCATTGGCATCCTGTAAGAGGTTGCACTAAGCACGATGCTTCCCTTACGGCATGCTGTAATTTGACAAGAGAATGGTATCCCAAGACAGTGTGCGAGAATTCAATCCTATTTCTTGCGGTTCCGAGCTCCTGGAGCTCGGGGATCCCTCTGCTGACTCCTGAGGTTTAACTTCTGGCATCTTGGCCGCATCTGCATGAATGCCTGGATGATGATCGCAACCTTGCAAACCGTTGAAACCCCAAGCACCACCCTTATGGAAGACTCCTGTCATGCCACAGCTGGGCTACAAGGGCGGAACACCGCCCGGCGGCGCCGTCATGCCAAGCCCCTAACTTCCAGGACACGAGCTGCGTACTCAAAGGGCATCTGTGACGGGAGGTGAACGGGAAGGCAACGACCAAGATTTCCGCTTCTTGACACCTGTTCGCCAGCATGGCCGCTCAATCTATACGCAACTCTCTCTGCAGGACTACCGGCCTGTTTGCAGCGTTTCACCGGCCGCACGCCACCTGCTGCCGGACAATCGGATTGAAGAGCTGCAGAGACTCGTCCAGGCCTGTCTGGGTGTTTACACCCCGGCGGGGCCGAATGGCAGGATGGGTCAAGACCTGTGAAAGAGACAGCGCCCTCGTCTCTTCGTCTGAAGAATACAGAGATAGATAGATCCTACTCTCAGTCGTGATTTGTCGGGGCGTGTCGCGGGAATCTCGACACACAGTGGGGAGATCTCATGTGTTGATGCAGTATGCGTAGGGCGATGTCTTTGCTCAGCTTCTCAGAAACAAAGACCTCAGATGCCATCACTGTGCAAAGAAAGCACCAACTGCCACGACGACCTTGGCAGACCATCAACAGATGTCTCATGCCTTGCAGCAAGGGGGGCGGGGGTTTCGGCCCGCAGGGGTGTCTTGAGGGGCTCTCGAGCACGCAATCGAAGTCCCCTGCTTTGTGGAACGCTGCTCTTCAAGGCACCCTTGCAGCCACATGCATGCACAAATTGCCTGGAAGGTGCAGAGGAATGCGACAGAGCTTCATCCATCGGAGCTTTGTAGTGCCAAGGACTGAAGATTGGGCTGCTGCTGGGATGCATGTGTGCGATGTTTCTTTGAAACAAGGTTTGAAGCCTCGGTTGGTGCGTCCGGAGTCCGACCGTTTGGATGGGGAGAGTGCATGTGGATCTGTGCATGATTCTGAGATCTCCTGCCCGTGAGGATATGCCCCAATCGGTTATCGTGGAAGATTTTCCTTTTGGTTTGCCACTGCCTGTCCGGGAGGCAAGAAGGGTAGAGTGGAAGACTTATCTTGATGAAATCGTTCTCCTGCATGTGCACACCACTGGCCAAACAAACGGAATCCTCGATGGTACTCGCAACACCTAGGTACGTCTAGGTCTGCAAAGCGTGCCTCTGCAATGCCAGCATGGTGCTGCCACTATTCTCCTTCGTCTTGCTGGAACAGAACTGCTGAATGGAGCTATGAAGCTGACCTCCGACCGTTACATGCAAGTCGGCGATGTAGAGTACAACTTGTCAAGCACAAGTGGTTAAGCTCTGTTTGCATGACACCGAGGTTCTGTATCCTGAGAGGTGTCGCGAGCCCCGCTTGTCTCCCCCGTTTTTGTCGAATGTTGGTTCCCTCACTACATGCGCGCTGATGTAGCACGACTTGATGTGCTTGCCTTGGCTGATGTCCCAAGACACTCTTGGGTCATTGCGCGCATCGACGGGATCATACTGATCACATGAAGCTGCCTGTAACTAGGCAGGCTGTGAGCCGGTTTCGGCCAAATGTCCTTGTCGGCCAGCACTGATGTCTGGCAAGAAAGCCAGGGGTCCCACTCGCGAAGAAGATCTGGACTCGAACAATACCAACATAAAAGTCCGTGCAAGCAAGAGGTTCAGGTCGAGTTCGATGCTTTTTCAGATTTGCTGCCAGGTGCTTGCAGCAACTGGGATCTATGGTGGCTTTCTGTCCTTGAACTTCCATTCTGCCGCCGCCTCGTTTCTGGAAGGGACAGAGGGTGTGGACATCAATGCTTGTTCTTCGGCTGCAAGGGCCTGGAGGACCAAATTCGACGAAATATATTATTATAGGCTTAAATCTCAATATTCGGAGACTTGGTTCTGAGTAGTATCCGATTTTCTCGATTCGGAAAATATTTTTAGTTGAAGTATGCATAGATACTTCTTTCGATCTCATTCTTATCTCCCCCTTCCGCTCTAAGCTAATACCATCAACAATGAGCCCCAAGACTACTTCCCTACTAAAAATAAGACTAAACTCAAGTCCTGCTATGCGAAAATTCGTAACCAGAATATGATCCTCCCTAGACCCTTCGTCCTAATTTCTGAAAGTACATCCAAAACCACTTTCTATTCTTGATATAAGACTCTCGTAGTATTCTGCAACAATTGCTGAACAAAAAGATAATCAGAAGATGTGTTCGATGATTAAACGCGAAATATAGAATGTAGAATAATAAATTAGATTTGAAATTCAGTGTTAACGACTCGCACGAATGATTTAATTTGAGGGGTGAGAGGGAAAGGGGTTAATCGAATGATTCATACCAATGGGAGGGGAAACTAGACTAATTTTAATGGTAGAGTTGTATAAGAAAACCAAATTGGGCAATTGCAAAATTAGTTTTTAGGTATTTCGTATATATATATATATGCATCGTTTAGTAATATTTAGTTCAATGATCATGAATGCATGTTAGGTTAGGGTGCGTTTTGGCTTTGCGGCAAGCCCTTCGGATGGCCTCTCTCGTCTTCTGTGCCTTTTGGTATTTCGTGACGGCTCTACAGGGATTTGCGAATATTTCCGAAATTTTGGAGGTTTTTGTCGAATATTCCTGGAATTTTGGAGAATCCCCGGTCTCGAAATTTGCTGGAATTCTTGGGAATCCCCGGACCAATCCCCGCACCAATCGAACATGGCTGCTTGGCTCATGGCTTTCACGTCGCATTTAGGACCGACCAGACATCGAAATACATTGCGGGCGAGGGCGTGCAATGTCGCGGAGTGGTGGGCGAGGAAGTGTCGAGGTGTGTCACGGGAGAGTGGCGGGCGAGGGCGTGCTTCTTGTGAGGAGTGTCGCAAAGCGGTGGGCGTGTCGTGGGGAGTGTCGCGGAGTGGCGAGCGAGGGCATTTGTAATGTGGCACTGTGGGAGTGTTGTTGAGTGGGGGGCGAGGGCGGGTCGAGGGAGTGTCGCGGCGTGGTGGGTGGAGGTGCGAGTGAGAATATCGTGGAGAGGTGAGTGAGGGCGCAAAAGATATGGGGAATGGCGAGGGTGTTGAATTGGGAGTGGTAGGAGAGGGCGATTCGAGGGGAGAGTCGTGAAGGGGTGGGCGAGGGCATTTGTGTCGGGAGTGATGGGCGAGAATATCGTTGTTGTTGAATGACGGCTGAGGGACGGGGGAGTCTCGTGGCGCGTGGAGTGGCGGTATAATCAGGGTGTTAAGGGAATGTCGTGAGCGTCACTTGCGGCCAACGTTTCTGGCAAGGGGATTTCGGTGCTGTGTTGCTGGCCGCCGCGGACTTGCTGCAGACTATTCACGCCCGCGAGGAGTGGCAGAACTACAGCCACAAGGTCAAGCAGGCACACGAGAATCGGCAGCAAGTTGTTTATTAAGTTAGCTGCACACACAGCCGCGGCTGCCCGCTCCATTGGCACGCCACGTATCACAAGCAGCGGCTCGGCGGCTCCCCCCCAGGTTCTCTACTCATCACAACTACTGGCGAGCATGTACACCAGCCCCATGCTGACGAAGCCAGTCGAACAACGCGGGCTCTGTTCACAAAGTCCCAACTTGCTGAAGCTCGCAGGTACATGGAAGACGCGCGCAGCGGCGAGTGCTCCACTGCCCAACTGCTCCAACATCTAGTCAGACAACGCTTTCAGGAGGCAGAGTTTCCGAGCCAGACACAGCCGGGTGATTGGATGCGCAATGAACGCAGACGCAGCAAAACCCGCACTAACCCGACTCAGCCCCGAGGCGAGGCACTCGGCAAGATGCGGCCTACGCAGCGTGCGCTGGAGGAGAAGGTTTTGGTTTCTTGTGAACGGCAAAGGCCAGCATCAGGCTGGATTTTCGGGTTTGCGGATTCTGGCAAGTTCGTTGGACAGGTTCAACAAGGTTCGTGTTTGTCTAATGCAAGCACGAACCTGCTCGGAGTGTCTGGCAAAGTCCACTTGCAAATGTTCGATACGTTGCATACAATGCACTTGCCACTTGCAGACCAGATGTGGTAATTT